CTGGGAGCAATAGGTGTCAGGAGGGGGCCAGAGGGAGGATTCCAGAGGTGTAGGGGCAGTGGACAGAAGGGGTACATTCAGCGACGTATGCATTTACATTGCATGATAGAGAAAGTACTTGCTAAAATTAAGGAGCAGCTTCTTTTTACACTTCTAAATGATGGCCAGACCAGATGTAACTTGCCAGCCTAGACGGGGTGCTCAGAGCTCGTCCCTCTGGAAGTGGGGGGCCCCCCTTGGCTGGAGGGACCGCTTGGTTCCCGGTGGAATTGCTGGAGGAGCTTCGCTGACTGCTGAGCCAGGCTGTGGCCACTAGCTCATATACAAACATCTACACTGTAGATGGCTAAAACCAGTGAGACAAATCCCGCTAAATCCAGCATAATCTTATTTTGTACGTGAAAGCATGTATGCTGTGAAGGAAAATCTTCTTCTCTTTTGCTTCCAAACCTGTAGCAAACAATTCATCCAGGCTGGTTACCATCAGCACGTACGGCTCTGCAGCCTGCCACAGCCTGTACAGTGTGAAAGCATTCTGGCTGAATACTTGGGATAAGACAACTAAAGAACGGAGTATTCGAACTCTGAATAGCTTTACTTTTGACTTGATTAAAGATGAAAGAGAGAACTGCTGGTGGCCTCAGGGCTTTTAGGGTTTATTTTTTGCAGAAATCATTGTGATCCAGACACAGTAACTAAGACGCAAAGCTTCTCAAGAGTTTAATTTGAGGTGTCTGTGACAAAAATGGGGTAAAGTACCCAGTTCTCCAGCAAATTAAAAATGTACATAATTGGTAATTCTGTGTGGGAATACTCCAGTGTATGGGAAAAATGCCCATTTGGGGAGGGGGAGGTTGTACTACGTGCATTTTAAATTACAATATAAACTCACTCTGGTTTGACTGTTTTAGTATACTGCTTATATGACATTTTAAGTTGCTGGCAGGTTTTTATTTTGGAGCGTATAAGTGAAATACTCCATTTACTGCTTTGAAGCTCCAGCAAACTCATTGATGTAACACTTTCTGATGACAGCTTAGTCCTTTCAGCCATGCTGCTTTTAGTTTTAGAGAAGTCCGTGCTGCTGTATATTGCTCACGTCTCTGATTTTTTTTCCCAGCGCTTGATCTGCTCCTGCTGGAGAGGGTGGGACATGTGGTGAACCATCCACCCAGAACCATCTTAGTAATTCAGCCTGCGTTGGCTCCTTCCTGAGCTGGGAGACCTCTTCCACACACCTCTGGCTCCAGATATCAATGTTGTGTTATTCTGAATGTGGTAGTCACATAGCTGAGACCATGCTTGTGCACTGTGCTCCTCCTTCTTAGACAGGGCACAGAGTAGAAAGTATTCAACATTTACTCGGGGAAGATGCAGTTCTTCAGGCTTATAATTAAAGATACCCACTTTAAATGCAATTTTCCACTGAAGCTTGCGTGATCATCACCATCAAATGAACCTGTAGCGATAACCTTTCGCCACAGAAAGGACGGCTGAAGCAGGATGTCGAACAAGGCCATGTCAGTTGGCACGTTCCCTGTCCTGGTAGCCAAGGATGCCGAAGCATCTCGGTGAAAGGATGGTGTGTGTCCCCGGGTGCTTACAAACTTGGTATACTGTGCTACTGGGGGCACTTTGTAGACAGGTCCTCATGGAGGATGACTCACAGTTGGTACCGCCGCTGTTTGGTTTTTTGGTTTGGGGGATTTTTTTCCCCCCGGTTGCAGTAGATGAATGGCTTAATTAGCGTGACTGTTCAGAAGCCCTCAAGAGTTTAGATTTTGGACTTGTAGGAACTATAAAAAAAAAGTTACAGGCCTTATCCAGTACTCAATACCACTCAAAATTAGAAATTTTACTGTACTTAGGCCCATACTTACTGTTGTCTCTGCTCTATTTAATACTTCATTAAAAAAACCCCAAGCTACCAACAAGTTTTAGCTCCCAAATCTTCAAATAATTTCTTGATTAAGAAAAAGGTGAATTCTCTCTTTCCACCTGCACTTCACTGGCAGCAAGCATGCCTGCTCTTCACCGTAACCCTGAGAAACCAGCTCCATCCAGCTTCGGCATTATTTCCGGAGAGTTTGTTTTCACCTGGAGAGCGTCATGTTGGTGAGGCTGTATTCTGGGCTAGCGCTGGCCTCCCTTCCTTTGCCCTTCCTCTTGTCTGGGTGGAGGGAGGCCCTCTCCAGCCTGGGTGATGCTGTAGCACAGTAAAAGTTCTCATTGTGCAGAACTACTGAAATAAATGGTAAATTTACATACAGAGGTTTTGGAAGACAGGTCCCGTTCCAAAAATAAAGAGTTACAAATATAGGACAGTTTTTCCAGGGCTTTGATTTTGTGTATGATGACCCTAGTGGTGGGCTGTTCTTTCCAAATTATTTGGACCCGTCTTGGCATGAATAGATGTTTTACAGCAATGCTACGAGCTGTACTGTGGGCAGACTGTGAATGCTATAAGTGAATTGGAAATTGAACATAAATTTTTGAATTTATTGCAACATCCTGTCAAATTATTGCAATGCGTGACTTTACATGACAAAAAGACGTTGGTAATGGCAAGTAGATAACAGTACGGACTCACAGTGGTTTTGTTTGTAGCATGCATACAGCTTCCCATGCAACTTCTCAGTCATGGTTCCATGCAAAACACTGAATTTTTTTGTAGGAATTAGGGTCTTCATGAGAACCACTCAGAGCAAAATGTTGGCAATAGAATAGAGGTATTAACAGTAATCCAGAATCACTGTTATCAATGATTCTATTTTAAAAACCCAAGCAATCAAACAAAACTTCTGCCGCCACTTCGACTGTGCAGTAGAAATGCTGACTGTATTCAGAACTCAAGGTCTGGGACATGCATGTTCCAGTTTTATTTTCTTTTGGTTCGAAAATCTTACCCCTTGATCACAGAAGTACTGTCTAAAATGCCTCATGTTCTTACCATGCCTAGGTAACTTCTTAGTAGCTGATGAAGTTCTCATCTCCCATTCTTCAAGGGCTAAATCCTGCATTTGGGGGAATCCTCTACCAGGGAAGAGTATTTGGGTAAAGAGACAAACAGAAAAGCTTATATTTACAAACTGCCTCATTCTTGTAATGCTGGTTCTTCCACTGCAGTAGGATGTTGAGCGTTTTAATTTGGAGAGGTTCCGTGCTCTTTAGCTGTGACATTCTTATGGGTCAGTGACTTCCCTATCGCCACTCCCAGAGAGGGGGAGCTCTCCTCCTAACCTTTTCTTCTGAACTCTGCTGCTCAGTTGTTTAGGATTTTATGTCTTCATTTAGCATTAGTGGGTTTGAATCATGGAACTAATGTTGGGGCTTGAATAAGCTTAAAAGAAGTAAAGCTGTAGCAGCTAGGCAATGTGATATGACTTTGCTTTATTAATTCTTATACCTGTCACTGTTTAAAAAAAAAAAAAACAAAAAAAAAAAAAAAAAAACAAAAAAAAAAAAAAAAAAACAAAAAAAAAAAAAAAAAAACAAAAAAAAAAAAAAAAAAACAAAAAAAAAAAAAAAAAAACAAAAAAAACAAAAAAAAACCCCACACCACTGAAAGCCCTGCTGAATGAATTTGGATGCTTCACTGCATGAGCAGTACTTTTTAAGTATTGACTTCTGTGGCTCTTGGGGGAAAAAAAAGCCACCTTTGATATTCTAGAGAATCTAATAATTTAGATAGCAAGATATTTCTTAGCTTCCCTGCTGTTTTATCAGGAGAAGAACCAAATGGTTGAAGACTTTGGTGGGTTTCAATCCTGACTACGCTATTGATAGACTCTGTCTTTGCAATTTCTGCCATGTCTAATCTTACATTGAAGCATGTATTTTTACTTTAAAAGACAGACATAGATAAGCTGGTTTTGATTTTTTTTTTATTTATTTTGGTCTTTTTCATGCTTTTCAGTTGTGCATTTTACTTTTTATTTTATTTTACTCTTAGGAATATGTTATCATATGGAAATAAATAGCATGTTTAACATTTTACAGTGTTGAACAATAAAATGATGTGGTCTGTGGCATGAAATTATCCAAGGTAGAACTTTGAAGATTATAAAATTGCTTTGTAAATGCCCTTTGAGAAGTATTTTGCAGGACTACTTACTTCATGTTGTAATACCATAAGCTGCCTTTAAGCTTTGTAGTCTTCCTTATACATAACAGCTTTTTGCCTGTCATCCTTGGAGTGAGAAAGACCATCCCTCGTGATACCTGGGTTTCCCTTATTATGGTGTTTGGGGGCATGGTTTATTGTCTCCAGGGTCAGAGAGCAACTCATTAACGATAACAGAAAGGCAAAGGAGGGAAAGGAGAGTGGTTTGACAGAAATCCAGAGTGAAGGAGGTGAACAAGGGACAAAAGTTCACTGTCTCTTCTCGTTCAAGAGCTAGGCAGGGCATTAAATGAGACTCAGAAGCAGCAGGTTCAGGACCAACAAATGCAGCTACTTTCTCAGCAGTCAGGCTGTGGAAGGACTTGTCACAGGATGCGGTGAATGCGATGTACAGGTTTACATGGATTCAGTGGCAACTTGACAGTTGCTACAGGGCTCATAGATAGAGAAACATGATCTCTAGCTGAATGAATATTAAGGGTTGATCCTGGCATCACAGGGCTACAAGGGGAATTGGATGATTGTAATGCAGTCTGTGGTTTTAGACAATAAAAGCTTTGATAGAGTTTAATTGATGAAAATAATTTTATAAGCAATTTGTCTCTTCTTCACTCATCCAGATCAGATGAAACTACAGATGACATGGCCAAAGTCAAGAGAACGCGTGGACTGATGAGAAACAGTATTGCCTTCTGAGAACTTTAGCCTCCTAGTTGCTGGAAATCCTAAGTGCAACTTTACTACTACCAGAAGATACCCAGACTCTATGTTATCATTGAGCAGAGTTTGCAAGAATGGAAAAGCAAAGGACCCCGCTAGCTGTATTGCATAAATAAAAATTTCCAAGATTCAGCCAAATCAAAAAATTGTTCCAGCCATGGGAGAAAATGCAAGTTTTTGGGAAAGTTTGATATATGCACATCCTACCTGCACTACTTGGAAGCAAGAGGCAGAGGGATCTATCTACCACCTAGCCAGTATTCTCTTTGTTGTGGGCTTCATGGGTGGAAGTGGATTCTTTGGGCTTCTCTATGTCTTCAGCTTGCTTGGATTGGGCTTTCTCTGCTCTTCTGTTTGGGCTTGGCTGGATGTCTGTGCTGCTGATATATTCTCCTGGAATTTTATACTGTTCGCTATATGCTTCGTCCAATTCATTTACGTTACCTACCAAGTTCGGAGTGTTTCCTTTGACAGAGAATTCCAGGAACTCTACAGCGCTCTCTTCCAGCCTCTGGGAATTTCCTTGACTGTCTACAGGAAGATTGTCTTGTGCTGCGATGCAGAAGTGGTTACCCTGGAGAAGGAACACTGTTACGCCATGCAGGGCAAAACACCTATTGATAAACTGTCCTTGCTTGTGTCAGGCAGGTTTGTATCCGTTCGTTCAGACTTACTGCAAGTATCTTTTTTTCTTCCTCCTTCTTGAAAATGAAAGCAAAAAAAAAAATGCCCAATTTGTGTATTGTTTGTTCATTTTCCAGTACAATAGATTAAATATTAATGCAAGTAATATAAACATTAATAGGCTAAATACACTTGTCTAGGGCAGCACTAGCATAAAAACACTAAGCACAAAATCTGTAATAGCTTAAAGAAAAGGATTTAAAATAATTCTTTTCCAGACCACTGTATCATAGCACTTAAGAGGCTAGGCGGATAAAGGGAACAAATATGTTTTTCAGTCTTCAGGCCATGGTTTGCTATCTGTCTACTGCCTAGCTGATAAACACAGCATCTTTCTTACTTTTCTGTGCTAGTATAATCTGAAACAGGACTAAAAGGTAGTTATGAAACTGAATATAGTGAGATAGACTCTGTTTAATGGAGATCTTGACTTCGATACAGATTGTGTTTGGTTGCTTTCTGGGGGGTGGGAAAAGGGAGGGAGTAAGGGAGAGGAGGAGGTCTAAAAGTGCCCTTCCATTACAAGGGGACATAGTTGAGCCCTACCAAGATTTGCAGAACTGAGTCTACAGTTACTGTGTGCTGTGGCCCTTAGTTAGACTCTGAGGCAATAAATCTGCCTGCTTGTACTCCTTGCTTACTGGAGACCATTCTGGCAACCTTGCTGATACTTTCCTGAAGGGAAATACTGGCTTCTGTACTGTATATAAAGTGGTACACAGTACAGGACCACCACAAGAGTAGATGAGATACCCAGAAATTATGGCCATGGTCTGTCTTTGATGGGACACTTTGTGGGCTCTATTTGACAGCCTGCTGCATGGACAGAGGGAATTTGTAGGCAGCTTGAAAGTCAGCTGAGTTAGGACTAGTTGCAATGAACAATATGGATTTTAGATAGTTGTCCCTAAGGACAACCTGGTTCAGAGCATTCTTGGGAGCTGTCTAGGAAGTACCATGTTGCTTTTGGTCATAGTCATACTGAAGGAGAGGTGTCCATCCTTCTACACACCCAGCCAGATAGTAATCATGCAGGGAGTTCCTGCCACCCTCCTTCCTGCAGTATAGGGCTGCTCCTTCTGATTTGGTGAGAAGCAGTAATCTCTGTGCAGACAGATGTAAAAAAGGGACTCCTACAGCTTGCTTTTTTACTTTTAGCTCATGAGGTTCAAGCATACATTTCCTGCTTGTGTGCCTTTAAACTTAAATATGGTTTAAAAAGTAGAATGAAAATTTTTCTTTGGCATCTGCAGAAGACCACGGCATTCACACAGAGATCTCATACCTCCATGCTGTTCTCCTGGCTCCAGAGACAGTCCTGTGATCACGTAACTCCCATTAAACATTGAGAGAGCCCTACCTAACACATGCTGTGGGGAACTCCTGCTTCCCACTCCCTGCTTTTGCCACTTTGTTCCCTCTAAAATGTGTATTTGCCAAACCAAGAAGTATATCCTGTGGCTTTCAAGTGAAGGAGGCAAACTGCCTCCTATGTGTGTTGGCCTTTCACCTCTCCAGTGCACTCTGGCCTTTTCGTGACAAAGCTTGCATGTCGCTGCACAGACCTGCCCCAGAGAGAATAATATGACTTGAATAAGGCCTGGAAAGATTTCCATTTCAGTTCCATGATTATCTTGCATTCTCTTCCAACTGGCCCGATCAAGTTCTGTTCAAAAAAATATAATTAGAATACTGTTGGCCAGTGATTGCTTTTTCATGCTCTCAAAGCTGAATTTAAACTCCTCACATAGTAGAAATAACACGTTCTTGTTGCAGTCATTGCTGCTGTATAGGTAGTACTAACAAATTAACACATCTTATCTTGGTAGGATCAGAGTGACAGTTGATGGGGAGTTTCTGCATTATATTTTTCCTCTTCAATTTCTGGATTCTCCTGAATGGGATTCACTGAGGCCCACAGAAGAGGGAATTTTCCAGGTAAAAGCAGAGGGGCTTTTTGAATACTACAGAAAACTGTGCAAGTACTTATGGGTAAACTTCATTTAGTTATGGGGTTTGTTTGTGAAATTACACAAACAAGTGGCTTTCCACTGTTTTGGGGAGGGAATTCCTCTTTACCCACTGGGGTGGTTATGCCATTTGTGTCTTCTTTCTGTTTGCGTCTTGTCATTACAACAAACTGGGTTTTTCTCAAAGCTAATCCGGGAGGTGGACTCCGTTTGCATTCTTCGGCTGTGCTAAAATCCAGCTCTGAGAAACCAGGTTTGCGGGAGGTGGGTGGAAGTTGGTGCTGAAGAGGCTTCCCTACGGGAGGTGACTGGGAGAGCACAGGCTGGGGAGCAGCGTGCCCATGGTACAGCTTGGCATGTGGGGACAGCGTGGGAGATGGTGTCCATCGGGGCTGCCCCCTGCGATCCGTGAGCCCATGACAGCACTGCTGTCACTTGGCCGACACGCTAGCTCCTGCCTGTGTGGCATCTGATGCCTCGTGTCATGAGGGCAAATGGAATTTGTCGAGAGCTTTCGTTAGACCTGCCTTCCCAGCTAGGGCTGCTGAGAGTGGAGCCGGGGCGTTGCCATCAGCCTGTGTCCTGGCCGGGGCTGGCGTTCAGCGTGAGCACAGGCGTACTGTCACCGAGGCCGACGAGATGCAACCCTTCGGTCTGTTCCCAGCCACCCTTCTCGCTTGTCTTTGCCATACAGCAGACCCCACAGAGCTCTCTGGCTGGATTAAATGGCTTTAATTGCAGTAGGCGCAAGGACGCGAAGCGCACGTCAGAGGCGCAGCCTGCGTGCCTGCTGAGAGAGAGGGGGTGCTGCCTGAGCAAGGGCAGCGGTGGCAATATCACTGCCTCATCACCTAGCTAATTCTAATTTTCTCTTCTAAAGGTAACGCTTACAGCAGAGACAGATTGTCGGTACGTGGCCTGGAGGAGAAAGAAGCTGTATCTGCTGTTTGCCAAACACCGTTTCATCTCCCGCCTGTTCTCAATTTTAATTGGGAGTGACATTGCTGAAAAACTGTATGCCTTGAATGACAGAGTGCACGTGGGGAAAGGCTTTAGGTACGACATTCGCTTACCGAACTTCTACCATGTGTCACTGCCAGAGACCCCTCCAGTGCAGCCCTCCCACCACCTACAGAGAGGGTCTCCCCAGCGCAAGCCCACGGGGGTTACAAACTGCGGCTCCTTCAGCACACAGTCCTAGGAAGGAGAACTCTGCTGCAGCCATTCCCCGCAGCGATGAAGGGGAATGCAAACAGAAGAGCAGAAAGATGAAGCAGAATGAGACCCAGTCAAGCCAAATTTGACTGACAAGTGCCATTTACTTTCATTGGAGTAGCTTGAATTATTCCTCTCTCTAGAGCCACTGGGTTGGTTTCTGCATTTTAACTGTTTGTGCAATATGTTTACTTTCTGTTGATTCTTTTGTTGGTCGTCTTCTCCTATTTTTGGAGGAAAACGAATCATAACAGGCTGAAGTTTTATCGTAATTGTCGTGGCCTCTGTGTTGTGTTTTCAAAAAACCCAAGCCCACGGTATTTGTAAGTATACTTCCTCAAAATTATTTGCCATAATGAAGCATAGTCAATGAAAACAAGTACGTTGTCTTCAAAATATAGCAACTTGCTTGTAACATTCATATTTATGCCACGTGAACATTGTCTCAATTATCATGAAGAATATTGCAGAAAAAGACTGAGAGACCAATTGTATTGGGTTTGTTTTTTAAAGAAATGAAAGATTTTGAAATGCACAGCAAGATTCTTAAAAAAACAAACAAAAGACGACAACAAATTCTGTCCCATGAGCGATTGATTTCTCTCTGACTATCCTAAAGACTTACTATGTGAAAACAAACATAAATGTAATTGCTGGCAGTAGAAAAGTAAAGCAGTTGTAACTGCTGCCAATATAGCTTAGGGAAATGTTTGTGTAGCGTTTCTGACAAAATGTGATGCTATAGGACCTAGGCTTCCACAGTGTCAGTGCCATTGGTGACATGTACAATAAATACTGTTAATCAACCAACTGCCAAACCATTGGAATTTGTTTTACAGTATTCTTTTTAGCCAGGTTTGTCAGGAAGAAACTAAGAAACAGCCACAGCAATAAATACAATTTTTAACCAAAACATTCTTGTTTAGCTTCAAGAGTCACTTTTTTGTGCCTGTGAAATTCTTGATTTGAAAGGTATTCTCTCCCTAAGTCTGTGGTATTTTAATGGCATAAGGGAGCACCGGCTCATCCTTCGATAGGAAAAAGCTGGTTTCAACCCTTGAGGTCACTGTGCCTTTGGGAAGAAGTGTCTGAATGTCTTTGCTAACTCACCTTCCTGCTGCTATGCCTGATGCCTGCCAGTAATGAAAAAATAAGAAGCATTACTATTTTATGAGACTGTATTGCTGTTTGATAGATCTGGAGGTAGATCGCATTTTTAATATTTTAAAATGGCTGGACTGTTTGCTAGGACAACCATTGTGTGTTTGTGTATGTGCGGGTAGACGTATGAGTTTAGATCTTGGGAGTTATTGCTGGAGGACTTAAAATAATGATACAATCTCCTGCTTGAAAGACAATCATGCAGTATGCATAAGAAAGCTATTAGAAGTGATAGGAAATGCTACCTCTTTGAAGGACCTTTAGTGTAGAGCAGATAACCTTGTATGGGTTTTGCATTTAGCTTTATGTCCCTTTCTCAGAGAGGAAAATCTGCCAAACATAAATACCATAGCATGCTGTGTGATAATCCCCAAATCCTTCTAATAACCCTTCCATGTGATGTATTCTGTATGTATTACTTAACGTGTGAAGACCCCGAGTCACAAAGCCACTTTGTCTTGGTCAAAAGAGAATTGAAAAAAATACAAACAGAGAGTTCATTGACTGCTGTTAAAGACCGGCCCAGAAAATAACTAAAGGCACAAAGTGCCAAAGGCTGGCAGTGTGTAGAAAGGACGTACAGCTGTGTGTGCCCTCTTCCTATACTTTTCATGGTTAAGGGACAGGATAGTGGGCTGCCTGACCCCTCGGTAGGACTCAGCATGGGTATTCTCATGTAACTTCAGTGCTGTGGTTAGTAGCGTGTCTTACGCGTCGGAAGCGCGTCATCTCTCGTGGATGTGGTCACTTAGGCTGTGCTTCGCGATTCCCCGCTCCGCTTCACCCAGCTGAGCTGCTCTGAAAACCTTACGCTGTTTTTTTTTTTAACAGGTGATTTAAAACTAGCCCCCCATCTCTCATTCTGATAAAGTAACAAGAATTTATAAATTTCTCATGCTATAATATGTGTTGGACCAATACGAAGTTTTATGTGTTAACAATCTAAAAATGTAAAAAGATAATAGTCTAGAAACATAAAAGAGATGTTATCCTAGAGTTAGGCGTAATATAAATCATTGACTGATGCTCTCAGTTTTCTTGAATATTGGGCTTGTCCCGTATATTCAAGAATACTTGCCTTAACTTAAATAGGGTCAGCATTTAATAAACTAGTATGACCATCACTGCCAAAATAACACTAAGGAGGCTTGCCCACCCAATTTCTTTATCAAGCTTATATATTCAATTTAAACTATAGCATAATGCTTAGAAAGATACTTGCTCTGGAGTGATGGGCGCTTCATTGCGTACTTGGGTAACTTTTTTCTTCTTTGTGCCTGGTGTGTACCTTGGTTTCAGCCTGGTTTCCAGCCGCAAACCTCTGTGATGCTGGAATCAGTTACTATGACATGTTTGAGGCAATAACTGAACACACTCTTAGCTAATCCCTTTTAGCTTTTGCTACTGTGCTTTTTGGGCTTTGAGTCACTTTTTAAAAGTTGTTTTCCTGTTTTCCAGCGTCTGTTTGAGTCATGACGAGCAGAACATTTCAGCTGTAGAATTCAGGGCATATATATATCTACAGTAGTGTAAGTACACACAAAAGGACTGGAAGTGAGACAGCAAGCCCTCTCCACCCCTGTTTTTTTAATCTTGACAGCACTTCTGAAACGTGCTGTAAAATGCACTCTGGTATGTGACTCATAAACCAATGTTTTGGGAGAGCTGTATAATCTACCTATTATTTCATTGATGTCAGCAAAATAGCACAAGCTTTTGTGATATCTCATGTGCCCAGTGATTAGTGAGTTGGGGTTGCTCAGCCTGGAGAAGAGAAGGCTCCAGGGAGACCTGATTGCGGCCTTTCAGTACTTAAAGGGGGCTTATGAGAAATACAGGGACAGACTTTTCAGTAAGGCTTGTAGGGATAGGACAAGCAGTAATGGTTTTAAACTAGAACGGAGTAGATTCAGGCTAGGTATAAGGAAGAATGTTTTTTTATGGTGAGGGTGGTGAAACACTGGAATGGGTTGCCCAGAGAGGTGGTGGAGGCCCCATCCCTGAAAACATTCAAGGCCAGGTTGGACTGGGCTCTGGGCAACCTGATCTAGTTGAAGATGGCCCTGCTCATCACTGGGGGGTTGTACTAGATGACCTCTAAAGGTCCCCTCCAACCCAAAGCATTCTATGATATGATTATTCATAGGTTAGTAAACATTTGGAGCTAGATGAAGCTCTGACTTGAGCATCGTCCAGTTTATGCCTATGTTATTACTCAGGAAAAACTGTCAGTGAGGTGATCAGGCTCCTTTGTAATTGGTTTAAGTGAACAGATGCTTGAGACTATGCTGCTTTATGAATTGAGGACACTTTCAACGAATCCTTTTCTTGATCTGCAGTGATTCCCCTTTACTCACATTCTACATTTTTAAGAGTTCCATAATCTTCTATGGGGTTATGTCTACGTTTGTATCCTGTTATAGGTAAGAGTGGCAGAATCTGATGCGTGTGATGATTTGCTCATTCATCAGCATCAGTTGATCTTCCAGGGATTTTATAATTGTGAACATCATGCTGGGATCGCCCTTACAGCCTGCAGAAGGGTTCAAATTTACTACACAAGCTAAAAAAATACATGGCCTTGGACAGGCCAAAGAGAAAAAAAAAAAAAAAAAAAAAAAAAAAAAAAAAAAAAAAGGGAGCACTCAACTTCTTACAGGAAGAGGAGAGGTTTATTTCAAATTGGGCTTGTGGCAAATTAAGTTATTGGATGTAACCATGTATTGTGAGAGCTTCAAAGTGAGTCTTGCCTGTTTAGGGGTATGGGACTGACCCTGCAGTTCTTTCATTAGGGGAGTATTTTCTTGACTAGTAGTAGCCAAGTTCAGGTAACATCCTAAGCGATGTTTTTAATCCATTGTGCAACTCCACTCAAAACTACAGAATAACCAGAGAGAATGTATCCCAATGTACTATCATAACTGATAATGCTATGCAAGGCAAATTATAAGTGCTTAATGAAAAAGATTATTTTGTGAGGTTGCCTATGATAATAGAGGCTGGACTTGGTGACTCAGGAGAGCCATCCTAGTCCTAAATTTTCAAGAATTAATTGCCCTGTAACAAACCAGCAAATGTGATAGTGATCAAAGTAAACTCAGTAATGGAAAGAACGATGACAACTTACACATACAGATACGTGACCTCCGCTAGAATAATGCTGGAAAAGCTGGATATGTGCTTGGATGAAATTAGATAGTTTTGCCACACCACAAAAAAGGCATAAGCTTGCAGTAATTAAATAATATATTGATGCTACATTTCCAGCAAAAAAGTGCTCTACAGTTTTTGATTATTGTAAATGATAAATGTAAGACATATTTGGGCTCAACATACGTGGAAAAAATAAAATACAATGTTGTACTGCTCATATAAACAGGTTTTGCAAACCAGGAGTTAAAAATGAAACAAATCCATAGCTATTTAGATGGAAGAAAACTATTTCACTAGAAAAGGAAAAAATTAATATCTATTTGCTGAATTCGGGCATTAGTAGATTAAATATTTTTCTTTCTATTCCTGTAATAATTGAATGCATATTCTTCTGCCCCAGCGTGTTATGGCATAACAGATATTTTTTACTGTACAACAAAATAAATACCTTATTAAGCTGATTTGTTAATCCCTCTTGATAATACTTACTTTGATTACATTAATTTGCATAAAAATACAGTAGGTTC